ATTTATATATTTAGATCTTATAATATAATTCGTAATTTGGATAAAAGTATAAAGATATGATTTATTGTTATTGAGATTATTAAATGGGTTCTTAAGAATTGAATGCATTTAATGAAGGCTTATTCGGACTCACATAGCGATATCGTGAATTGATTTAATTAAATAAGATTGATTTGAATTCGAGAAAGACAAACGAACTAATTAGGAAGAATTTGATCGAATACTACAATAAGTAACAAACTTTGATATTCGAATTAAATGTAATCACTAGATGAAATTGTAAAATAAGAACCTTCAAATTGTTGGTTTTGGAAGTTGAAACATAAATTTTTGATGTCTACTATTGTATTTAGCTACTCTTACAAGCGAAAGAACAAAAAAATAGAGTTCGTCAATAGATTTTGAAATCTCGATGATGGAAATAATCGGATCTTGCAGGAAGTATTTTTTTTTTCCAATCCCAAAATTTAGCAAATCCTAGGATTTTGCTTTTAAATCTTGAATTTCTATATGTTTCTCTATCTAAAAACGAGTGCAAATATGTTACTAATGCATAATTTAAGTCCAACTAAGACATCAACAAAAATCTGAAAAATCTCACATTTTACACTGCGGTTGCATAGAGCGAATGTGTACGGTGGCATAGGGATCTGAATTTGCTCCCTGATTTTAAATGTTGTGTCCTTGCTATCGCAGCCAAATAGGCCCTTGCGATTGAAAGGATCAAGTTTCTTCCAAACGGTTTGTTTTGGTCCCCAATTTCAATATCCTCCTTCATTCCATATCCTTTTTGTATTTGCAATGTAGGTCGTTAACTTCCAAACTTAATGCATAGGTCTACAATTCGAATTTTTGGTTCATTCCAAGTCCTAAATAATTGCAGTTGAAGCCCTTCAATTTCAAGACTTGTTTGATCCCAATTTCTCAATTTGAATAGATTCAATCCAATTTCATCCAAACTTTTGCAATTCGGATTTTCTGGTAAATTTGTCATAAAGTAAGTAAAACTTAGGTATCTAAACAATACAAGCACTACCAAATGTTCACTCGCGATAGCTCGAATGAGTGTAAAATTACACTTATCAAATATTGCAAAGTTGAACCTTTGTTCATCGTCAAATAAAGTAAAAGAAAAACTCAACTAAACTCTATACTTGTATACTCAATTCGAAATATGTTACTCAATATTTTTCCCCAAGTAAACATCTAATTGTCAAAATGGAAATATGTAAACGAAACAAGAGAATAAACAGATATTTCACAAACTCCATGTATCGTATATCTAGTTTTTGAGCATGTATGTGATAATCATTGTCAATTGTATTGATACTCCTTGAATCTAGTTATAAACTTCAATATCAAAGTATATTTTCCCAACAAAAAAAAATCTCGTATATGTCAATGTAATGTCTCTTCACTCTTTTTGATTTTCAATTTCTTTTTTCTTGCAAACAAACCAAATAAGTAAGATAGGTTTTATTTTCATTATTAACTCAACCACTCTCCAAATTCTTAATCGATGACTAAAACTTAGCTGGAA